GAACAGATTTTTAAGATATAGCGAATGTTTAAATTGTCACTCCGTATACGATATTATACTCTATTTTTTATTTTAAGAATTATTTCTAATATCGTTGTTTCTTATTTTGTACCTTAAGTTGCCCAATTTATAATGTTTTTTTTTATTTGTTTATTGATATTCCTTTTTCCTTCTGAAATCTCGTTTATTGTGTAAAATTACTAAAATGAGCAATGAGTTTTCATTTAAAAAACAACAAAAATGGTAAAATTTAAAATTTTCCCTAACCATAAATTAAAATTAGTTTAAATATCCTAAGAATATCTTTTTAGAATTACCAATTCTTCAATTACTTGTTTTTCTTAGTGATACTATTAAAAATAAATCTGTATCAAGAATAAGTATCACATTTCTCGGGTAAATTCCAGTAAGCATATTATATGTGTTATAAAATAATTGGATATTATATAAATACAATTCTATCCATTTCGATTAATTTTTCCTATAATGAGATTTTTTTGAACGAAAGCTATCTAGATTTCAGTTTTAATCAATGAAAATATAGTTAGCAAGAAGTGGTTGATTACGATCGCATATACGTGATACGAAATTTAATTTTATTACTTTATGAACTTTTTTACCAAAAATTCGTCACTTTGCTATATTTACAATAAACAGATACAGCTTAAATTATTCTTGTGTATTGCTGATTAACGGGAGGAGCCAGAGTAGCCAGTTCCCCTGTAAATAGTTGGTAACAAGTTTGTTTGACCTCGACAGTGGCGCGCTGAGCGCGTTATGATGAACTATAATTCGGTACCGTCGGTAAAGTAGAAAACTACTAAGTAAAGCCATTTAAAAAATGGCGGGCTTCAAAATTTATGAAATTTGAAGAAATTTCAAGTAACATTTTCCGATTTTACAGCTTTTACTTACAATAATTGATACAAACACTAAGTAAAATGAATTTTTATTGTAAGTAAATGCTAAAAAACGGAAAATGTCACTTGTTTTAAATGAAAAATAAAAACATTTGTTATAAGTTTATTTTATTTAGAATAGGTTACTATGTCATTACTTTATATTAAACATCATATTCACAATAAACACACAAAATGATTGCAGAATAAAAATGTAAGATAACAATGTGACAAATATTTTATTAACAATAAACTGGATACAATTTTCAAAAAACACAATGAACATTTTTAAATAAGTAAAAGCCACACAAAACAGTCATACCTATAAATACCACAATTGTTTTAAATATCTCTAATAATAATATATAAATAAATTTTTGGGTGTTGGGTGTTCAGTGCCAGAGTTGCTAAAAAATTATTAATCAAAAGTAAGTTGAGATTAAAGTTTGAGGAAAATTTAAAAATAGTCATTTGACAAATAAGTATTTAATTTTGTCATGATCTACATAATTTTAAGGAATAGGTAACTTTTGCAAGTATGGAAATGATTTTAAAACAATATACAAAGACCAGTTGTTTTGAAATTTTATTGGTTAGGCAACTCTGGCACTGACCCACTTTACTATCCTTTTACCCATCTATTTCAGTCGATTGTAGTTGCAATATCCATTCCAAAAATCTCCATACTCAGGAATAACTAAAACAAACAAAAAATAAAGGCGCAGTGTGTATCTTAAAATTAAAAATTAACAGAGATATTACTTTTTTAAATTCTTAGAAATATCCTTATATTTTCTTACAATGGTAGGTACCCAGATTTTCAATAATTTCAAAAAAACATCTGATTTATGCTCTTGGCAAGTGAACCATGCAAACTTAACATGTTCGTGTAAATATAAAATTAGTTTTTGGTAGAATTTGATAAATACAATCATGAATAATACCCAAAAATTGAACGATTGCTTTTTTGCGCATAAATCAAACGTCTTTTTGCATCATATTCCTTTAAATGTGTAAAACTATGATGAGGTTCTACAATATCTGTTCTTAAATTGCCCAAACACACTTCGCAATCAATTCCATTCATTTTTTGACTACAAATCAAGCTACATAAGTGGTAGCCTGAATATCAAAGTCAGTATTATGAAGTGAATTGACATTGAATTGTTTAATTTTAAGGCTAGCCAATTCATTTTCTTGGTCAGACAGTAGTGGTTGCGGTTCATCACTAAAAGTTAAAAATGAATTTAAATTGTCAACAAACTACTATCACCTGCCTCACAATTGGTGCTGTAATTTTTAGGTGTTATTAAACTATTTAAAACAGATGTTTTCAAAGCTAAAAGCAAGACAAATTTAATGAGCTTAGTAGGCAAAGTGCTGGTAGAGGCATTCTCGTCAAAATGATTCTCGCACAATAGTTTTGTTTAGATGTGTAGGGAATATTTAAAATACCAAACCATTTCTCTCTAAGGGTAATAATGGACGGAAAAGTAAAAAAATTCTTATTAAGTGTATGTAAATAATATTTGTTTCTGCAATTTGGAGCAGCACATGATAATGCAAATTTATTATAAGTTAATGACATCGTTAAGGACCTCAGTATATTTTTACACCTATAACTTACTTAAATCTAACTAAAACTAAATTAAAAATAAGATTTATCGAATTTCACTCACCTACATTTTCCGCGACTGTCATGTTTTAGGTTTTAGTGTAACATAACCTAATTTATTAGCAAAGCCAGATTTACACCACCTCATAATATTCAAATGTAGCTTTAACTTTATAAATTTATAACAATTATCCCTGTATTTGATCATTATATTGTATTAAAGTGATATTTAAAAGATTGCATTAGTAAAATTATTGATATGGGTGTAGAAACAGCTTTTATTTAGTGCTCGCAGCGCGTGAAGCGCGATATAATAAACTACAAACAAGGAAACAATTCCCGCCTATTATTCAAACCTTCTCTTTTTAATTTTTCTATGGGAGGAGCTGCTATAACTTTATAAAGAGCAGTTACGCCTAAAATTCCACTCTGCGCGTCGTAGTCGAAGGATAAGTTTGGTCAGCGTCATGCGATTGCCAATTCCTTCTTCTGCTTTTTCTTTCATTCTAGCTTCATATGAATATTCAGTTTTCTCTTGCTCTTATGAGTTTTGCACTATACAACTTCCAAAGGAAGCTATTATTAAACTTGCATACCTGTTTAATGTCTCCAGCTCTGTGGTTGTGCCAGCAACAGCAATATTTTTATAATCCGGAAATTTTAGAACAAAGTATTGAGGAACATTGTCGATGCTCCTTGAGAAATCGATGTTGTCTCTATTGTAAACACGTGTGTTTGATGAGCTCCCAAAAATTGTTAATTTAAAGTGGGAAGTTGCATGTAAAAATATCTGAAAATTGGTGTAGTACATACTGTAATTATACAGTTTTCAATAAATAAAGAAAAATCCAGGAACGTGTAGTTATTTACGAGGAAATTTGAATTATGCCAAAGAACTGAACTTTGTCACAATCCGAGCCATTAGTTGTGGTGTATCCAGTCCAATTGGAGAGCATAATGAGAAATATAAATAATAAACTTTTCTGTAAGGTAGAAAAAAGATTGGAAAAATTTGAAAATAAATTAAATAAAATTGAAGGTAATTTGAATATATTAACAGAAAAAATTAATTTACAAGAAACAAAACTCTTAGCGAATGAAAATAAAGTTGAGAATTAGATTTAATGCAAAGGAAAAATACGTTAAAATTCAAAGACGAAGAAGATGAATATTTACTCGATAAAATTTTAAAACTAATTTACCAAGGAATGAAAGTAAAATGTGAAGAAAGAGACATTAATGAGATATACAGGCTGGGTAAATCAAAGAAAAACGAAAAACCAACCATTGTAAAGTTTGTTACATACATGAAAAAAGGAGGTCTATAAATCTAAGAAAAATCTAAACAAAACAGGGATATATGTTAATGAAGATCTCACTCAACAATATAATGACTTCAAGGAAGCTCGTCAGAAATATGGAAATTCAAGGGTTTAGACCCAAAATGGTAAAATTATGGCAAGAACGGATGAAGGTGTGCAAGTTATAAGATAAATACTATTGAATATTTGAGGAAGGTACAACTGTTTCGGATGGGATCCATTAAATACTTTTAGAACATTTATTAATTTATCTACATAGTTTTTGTTCCTTTTTTTTTATTTTTTAGGTTAAATGGTAATATTATGATATTTTTAATCATTGATTTATTTTTTGTAAATAATCGATTCTTTGTTTATCGGATATTTCATTTCTCAATGCAATTTTTAAAAATAAGATTCCCCTAAAGCTGTAAAATGGTTTAATTAATGATTCGGGGATTATATCAAACAAGTACATATTTACTTTACTTTTATTATACTTATGTATTATTATATTTTTTCATCTATTTATAGTTTTATAAATGGGTACCTTACAATGTTATTACCAAAATTGCCGTGGGCTTAAAGGAAAGGCAATGGACGTTTACTATAACACAATGGATTGTCATGATATTTTATTGGCATCGGAAACACGGTTGACAGAGGAATTTAGGGATGGTGAACTTATAGATACAAACACGTTTAATGTAATAAGGGCTGATAGGGATATAACATATACTGATAAGAGTAGTGGTGTCGGAGTACTTATGTGTATTAATAAAAATAAAATTAAAATTTTAAATGTAATTAAAATAATCCTCAGTTATAAAATGCTAATTTGGGATTTTAAAGTTAACAATGTCGCCAAAATAACCGTAGTCTTAATGTTTATTAGACTAGTGCAGTTGATTAACTACCTACTTATATTTCTTGCTCTGTGTAAAATTAGAGTTATTTTAATAACTAAACAAAATTAATTTACAGTGACTGTTTTGAAGTGTTCTGTAGGGTCCCTTGACTTAACGTAATTGAAGATATGTCTAAAAACCTCCTCTTTGGATGATATAAAGGTACTATCTGGTCTACATTATTCTAACCACAATTTTTTTGGTGATTATTATTTCTTGGGTGTGAACCAACTGGACAAAATTATGCAAAATGCCAGATTCCTATGCTAAATGCAAAATGAAAAAGAGAGATGAAAATCTTATTGGCTGTGAGGGACCTTGTGGTTCCTGGTTTCATCCTGAGTGCTATCTTATGGATAATAATGATTTTAAAGTAATTCATAAATTGAAGAATATTTATTTTATTTGTAATTCCTGCAAAACAAAAATTGAAATTGTCGACAAAAAAGATAATGAAAACCAGAAAAGGAAAATCTCTAATATCGATTCGAACTTTTCTAAACTTATTACCGAACAAGTGACCAAAGCTATCTTTGACCAATTCCGAGATGAGATAACTCAAAAATTAGAATCCTGTTTTGAAGCTATTCAAGAAAAGATTAAAGACGCAATTTCTACAAATTCGTCAAATATAGCTGAACCTTCTTACGCCAATGTTGCTTCTCAATCCAAGTATATTCTGCAGCCAAAAATTAATATTACTCAATTAGTTTCCACAACTAAATCCGAAATGGTGCATTAGTAATAAGTTGTAATAAAGAAGAAGACTCTTCAACATTTCGAGAAATCATTAATAATAATCTCGGTGATAAATATAATGTCAAAACAATATCTTCTCTTCATCCAAGAATTAAAGTGACGAACATGGCAGAAAAATTTGACGATGCGACCTTATTGGACTACTTAAAGACTCAAAATAAATCATGTTTCAATGATAATTCTACTTGTGAAATTGTTAATGTTAAACCTCATAAGAATAATGCTAAATTATTTCAAGCTGTGTTGCAGGTTGATTCTAATACGTATCAAAGGGCTATGAAATTAGGCAAACTGGCTGTTGGATTTGATTTTGACTGTCTGGGTGCTATTGAACCTCGTAGACGTTTTAATTGTTGGGGACTACATCACTTAGCAACTCAATGCAATAAAAATGAGCCTACCTGTCCAAAGTGCTCTCTAAACCATTCATCAAAGGACTGTCGTTCTAAAAATATCCAATGTTGCAATTGCTTTAACCTTGAAACTAATCATAACTTAAATATACCAGTTGATCATGCAGCATGGGATAACGATTGTCATTATTATACAAAAGCGCTTACAAAGTTTAAAAACAATATTATACCTTCCCAATAGCAAATACTGACCCCTACGGTTACTCAAAAGAGAAACTTTATTGCTCCTCCTGATGCACATATTTCTTACATTTCTTTTTATTACCAAAACCTTCGCGGACTTAGAACAAAAACGACCAAGCTCATGGACAACGTTTCAACCATTACTCAATTCTCTGGTTATATTTTCTCACCGAAACATGGTGCAATAGTACTATTTTGGATGGGGAATTGTTTGATCTTAGTCAATTTGATGTTTATAGAGCTGACCTTTAATATAATACAACCGGTACTTCGAGAGGTGGAGGAGTATTAGCTGCCGTAAGAAAAGATTTATACTCAAACATATTAGATATAACTTCACTTACTGAGGTTATCATCAATATTGATGTTCTACTGATAAAAATTAAACCTCGTAATGTAAATATTTATATTTTAATTTTGTACATACCACCAGCCACGTCTACTAGGGACTATGAAATGGTATTTGAATATATTTCGATGCTTATTCAGAAAATATATATTATGTTTATTGTTGTAACCAATAAAGATTCTACAAATAATATTTAGTTATAATACAATTTTGTATTATTTATGTTATACCTCTAAAATTATTTAACATAAAATTTTACATTTTTATTAGCATTTTTTAACACGCATGGGATGCGTGTTAAAAAAATGCTATTAAAAATGTAAAATTCTTATATTTTGTCGAAGTAAATTCAAAAGCCCGCCAATTTTCAAATTAAAATAGCATTACAGCTTTTTATATTACCGACTGAGTATTAGTTGCACAAAACTATTCCACATGTCGCTGAAGGCAAACATCTTGCCATTTTTTTACAAAGAAACGGCAACTCTTAATTATCCTTCCTCCATAGGGTAGGTCCACTGTGTCGAATCTTGTGTGCAAAACACAATTTTTGGTAGAGGCTATAGATAGAAGAAGTCAGGTCGATGTTATCTATACCTAAATTATACTAGCGAGTAGAACTTTAGTTTTTAAGAATGCAATTTTAGTTAAGTTGGGTCAGAATATAATTACTCATCATTACATTGATCAGATTGTAATAATAATAAACGCCTCGACGCTTCTACTGTGAACAAGGCTTTAAGGTAGAGGCCATGGAAACTTGATCCAGATGATTTCTTCTGGTTTTTAATTTTGTTGCTTTTAAAGTAAAGTTTACAACATTCAGTCATGCTTTTTCCATAAACAATAACAAAAAATACTGATATGGAAAATTATAAAGAAGTTTTCATAGACACAACGTCAGAATATTAAAATTTGCAAAAGTTTTGATAACATTTTGACAATTAATCTAAAGGTGGGAGATGTAGTGACGCTTTTCTAATGGCATGTCATTTCAATATTATTCAACCTCATTACATGATAGGGGCCATTTTATTGCATTAACAGCTTACACGTAAACTCAGAGAAACAGAGTTGGACAATGGCGAGATTTATTTAAAATTAAAAAAATACTAGTTGGGTGACCAAAATATGAATTGTGATTGGTGGATTTCATATTTGTGCAGTATTCTTATTAGGCAGAATGGATATAAAATATATTCGTTTAGTTGAACGAAATGGCATACTTTTTCGTTTTGTAGTCTGCACATAGAATAGGTAATATTCATGTGGGCGTAGAAAAATTAATTATATACAACAGTATGTGAAACTCTAATAGTAATTATTTAAAATGCACCCGTAGGTAACTTACACGTAAGTTTAAAATCGTTTTTGAATTATGCGGTTATTGTAGACATTTTTACACTAATTAATAATTTTCAAACATTTTTAATCAATTTTTCCTGACGTCAATAAATTTGATTTCGTGGGTTTAAATGTAATGGAATCTAATGACTTACTGGGATAACTGATGGAATCTGAAACACAGTTGGACGTTCGACTAGTATTAATATTAATTAACGATGTCATATCGTTTGTCCTATAATGCCTTTGGCGTTTCTTATGGGTAAAGGGGGTTTGATTTTGGATAAATTAAATAGAAAGATTTTGTTATCAGTTATCACTATCAGCATTCAAAATAAGCGTATTTATTAAAAACATTTCAATGTACTGGGGCCAATCAATCAATTTTTCTGAATAATGTAACTCCCAATTCTTTAACAATTTTATTCAAACGATATGATAAAATCGATGCTTGCACACAGGGGAGGTTTCTCCATTTGGTTTCCTTGTGCAGTGAACACCCAGTTACATTTCATAAAATCACATTATTTTAAAATAAATAACATAAAAATATAAATTCAATTTTGATAATATTATTGTTTTAATACGTGTTAATCTCTATTTTTGGGTACGCTACTGCGCTCAGGCTAATCGCCTCTCCATGGCGCACTTTTATAAGTGAGCCTGGAGAGCGACAAGTTTTCGCGAAAGTCTTCAACTAAAAAGAGATGTCCACACTGTAAAGAAACACCACGTTGGTGCCAATTTGCTACGTGTTACTTAACTTAATTACCCTCGGCCTAGCTTAGCAGGGTCGGTGAATTCGGTTTATAATTTACTAACAAATCAATGACACTATCTTTAATTAAAAAGACAAGAAAGTGTTCTATTAATTTTATATAAATAAGAATTTCCTTGGTGTATTCGGTCATAAATTTTATTTTATATCGTTAGCACTGCACTACATATGTTTCGGAAAACTTTGTTTCCATCTTCGGGTCCAGTTAAAATTTAAAAACATTAAAAAAACACATGGGGACGATTACAAACAGTTTATAATTTTTAAAATATCAGAAACCCCATCTTTTTGTTTCAGCGTGTGAAGGTGTATTCGAAATAATATTGATTTAGTTTAATACGTTTAACTGGGCCGTTGATGAAAAGATAGGTATTATATCTTGCTTGGACACCTTCACCATACAGCATCAGTGTAACGGCTTGAGCTCAGTATCTCTTTATTTCCTCGTGGTAGCCTCTTTTGCATGCCGGTATCCTCCTTTATCCCGATTTACTGTTCCATCCTCTTTTATTTAAGGTATCGCCTTAATTTTCGCAACGCACACAGTGACGTCACAAAGTAGGGCGGGGCATACGAACTTTCCAATCATTGATATAAAATGAAGAGGACATGCTATGACGATACTAAAATTGTCCGTACACGTTTACGTCATATGTCAAACTCGAGCAAGTTGAGCTAGTCAGTTTTGGTGAGAATAAATATCATTTTTTTTAATAGCATGAATTAAATAATATATTCAGTCAATCTCCAAATATAAAATTATTAATTAATTATTAATCAAAATACTTGTCATATCGCAAAATAGTGTTTATGTCGGTCGTCTCAACTTCATTTTATCTCCTATCTGATTCTATCTCTATGTTTACAATCAAACTACACTTTTATAACTCAATTTATAAATTCCCATAAGACAATATTAATTTTTTTAATAAATCTGCGACTTTAATAAATTGGAAGAATGTGTGTCAATTCAACGGTTGTTCTCTAAGGTAAAACCTTTACTCAGGGGCGGCTCGTGACCAAAATTTTGGGGGTTCACAGTAGCAAAATATAGATCTTGGTACAGATGTAGGTAAAAAACTGTCAGTGTTTTAGAAAGGTATAGTATAAACTTTCTAAAATAGTGAAAGTTTTTTTTATACATCTGTACTGATATCTATATTCTGTTACTGTAAACCCCCAAAATTTGGGTCACGAACTGCCACTGTCTTTACTATTATTAAATGAAAGTATTTTTGAGGTTATAATGTTTATTTACAAATTTTATACAAAAATATTATTAGTTTTACGACTGTAATTTATATTTTGGTTTTTGTTCTAGTCTCTATGACTTCAGAATAGTCATGTGTTTTGTACCCAACTGTAAGTACTATGCAGTGAGCAAAACATTTGAGTTTTCTACAAAAGAGGTAAACGAAATTTCAAAAACAAAACTACTAAGAGATTTTACAGAGACCAAATTTAATTACATTCGAGTGTGTTGAATAAACTATCGCAACTTTATTATATTGAATTTTATTTAAAACGGCACTCTTTTGAAGAAAAACCATCAAAATTAAGGGATGACTGAGTTTCATCAAGAAATAAGCTCTTATCTTTGTCAGCCAAGAAAAATCATTGTTTACTGTACCAGAAGGTATTTCATAAGTAAGAAAATTTTATTTGAACAAGGATAATTTTTTGACCCTAAATAATATCAACTTGAAATTTTTTGAAAAATCAAGCTCTGAAAACATCTGATTGAAAATGGGAGTTAAGGGGACTTGTTAAATTGTGAAGAGTATAATTTAGAATGCCACGCAATATATATCTTCATTCTAGGTTGTATCTGGGTAATGTTATATATTGCGATGGGACTGATGTTATAAAATAAACATTTTAGTTCACTTGGTTTATTTGCCAATAAAAAGTATTTA